TTCGGGCCGTAACGGATCCCTTGAGGGAGGCACAACTAACTGTGGATTTCCTTGACAATACCTTCCAACCAAGACACGCGCAAGGTACATGTATCGACTGTGATCAGTTCTCGGGGGGGTGAACCGCAGGGAGAAAGAAGCATCTCTGGCAAAATAAACACCCTTACCTAGGCGAGTTCCTGCAAGAAAGAATAGATGTACTGATCGTAACGAGAGAGTACGATTCTGTTTCCCCTGGAAAAGATAGAAGGGGCGTGGGAACGGTTCGAGTACATTAAGAATAATGCAGCAAGTTTCCCGGATAATTTTACGAATATGATTTCGACGAAATTTTTCTCCAATTTCCAAACCCAGAGAGTGAGACCTCGTTAATATTTGCAAAGTGAAAGGTACGCTTAGCAAAGGGATAAAAGACTATATACTGGGGTAGCCTAACTGTTACATCTTGAACGTTTGGCGTTTGTCTGGAACTGTTTTCTCCTGGCCACCTAAACAAAAAGGGGAAGGTATATAAATCAAACAGGGTAACTCGTCGTTAACCAGATGACTCAAGATGCCTAGAAATCTGCATCCCGCGTCAGGCCAGACTAGCTGTTAAACTACGTATATTCTCTTACCATGCGCCAGCCCTGAGAAGTTCCTGTTAAACCCTTGAGAATTGATTTTCTTCACGTTATTATAGGCCGTTCCATGAAACAGTTGAAGCTCATTGTTGCCTCCATTGTCTTTGTCCATTTTCTGTTTCCTCAGCTGATACGCCTGGTAAAGCAGGGGATTTTGAATGCGCTCCACTCTCTTAACGGTTACTGAGTTCATAGTCTTTGTAAACATCTGCACAACACCCTGAAACTCGGAAGACTGAGATTGAAGTTTTACTGTATGAACGGTGATCTCATTCCCGTTTGCCTCCTTTGGCATAGCCTCCCAGTGATTTGGCAGTGATATTCCTCCAGCTTAAATAGACAAATATACCAAGATGATAAAATTTTCATAATTAAATTTTGAATTTAGGGTACATCTATGTATACCTAAATAATTTGGACTCACTTGCCATTGAATTATATACAATACTCGCATACCGTGTTTCATGAAAATTTTTTCCTCTCTAATTTTTGCGAATTTTGCGAATTGTCGTCAATCCTCAAGGAATCAATTCCCGTAAAAGAGAAAGATCTTTCAAATTAAATTAAGGGTCCAAAATTTGAAACCTCCAATCTGACAAACTGAAGTATGCAAACAAGTCGTCGGTCTATTTTTCTTCATATTCGGGTCTATCCACAATCGAATCATTTGACGTATGACTTTCCTTTGTAAAACTAACAAGGTTAGAAAATTTAGACGATAACTTTTTTTTCTGTGTGGGAATATATATTTTTTTAATATTCTGTTTCTTGCACAAACAATTTTCAAAAATTACATGTAGTTTTCAGAAGAAATTGGTTTCAACCAGAGCTGCAAAAACCGGTTTTTAGAAGACAGAAATAATCAGTTATAATCCACAAAATGAAACTTTCGAAAAGAAGTGGCAAAAATGGCTATAACCTATTTTGCTCATCTGCATATAAATAATTCAAATATTTTGCAAAAGACGTCATCGGCTGAGGAAATGCTCCAACACTTACCATCGCTTGTCCCCACAACCTTGCGGCTGATTTTTATCTTCTCTCCTGATAAGCTGCCTTTTCCTGTGCTGTCCCTAAAATGCAGTTGAAACTGATCTCCACGAAGTCCAACAGTCACATTTGGAGACTTTTTTCTAAATGCTTCCTCGATCTTTGCGTTTTTAGTCGAACTAAAACGTC